GGGGGGGGCGGGGGAGTTAGGTCGGCACTTGCTGCGCCCTCCCAAGCCACCTGCCCGGTGGGAGCCCGTTTTAGAGGGGGGGGAAACTGAGGCTCTGCTGCAGAGGCACACACGCTCTTCTGCGGTCATCCTGGCCCTGCCTGGGGGCATGTGCACCCAGCTGTCTCCAGAGACCAGGTCCCAGATCCCAAGTAGACTCCTGAGGGTGTGAAGGCTTGTGCTCCATGGGAGGAGACGAGAACTGAAATGAGTTTCCGAGACCTGGAATTGGACAAGGCAAGACTTCTACTCCCTGCACTTCTGAGGGGGTTGCATCCCCAAAGCACCCCCAACTCCCCCCGCTGTTGGTCTTGCCTTTGGAGTCAGAATACCTTAGTGGACCGGGAGCTGGAGGCCTGAGTTTGAAGACGCTGGCACTGATGAGCTCGGAGCCTTTGTGTGTTCATCTGTAAAATGGGAGTGATGATTGTCACCCTCCCCTGGGAGGTCGGACGACTGTACAGTTTGTGAGTCACTAGTGCAGTTTCCTTTTTACTCTTCACCATGCGCCTCCCATCCAAGGAGCTAGTCTTTGCCAGAGGTCTTTCAGTTTGTCCCCGAGGAGCTGGGACCTGTGCTAGGTTTCCTGCCAAATCCACCCTGGACTGCTCCTTCCATAGATGGTGCCGTACAGGCCTTTGACAGGAGGTGGCCCCCAACCATGCAGGACCAGCTGGACTCCCAAGGGGACCCTGAGCATGGCCTCCTGCAGGTAGGTGCAGGGTGGATGGAGGGGTGGCAGTTCCCCTGCTGTCTCCTTCACACCCTTCCATGCCAGGTGGGTCTAGGTGGGAGTGCCTGGTGTCTACTCACTCTGCTCCCTGGCCCACCCCAAGGTGTTCTCTGCAAGTGGGTCCCTGGAGGAGAGCTTCCTGCTGTCCCTACTTCCTGTCCTGGCTCTCCAGACGTTGCTCTGGCTAGGATGGCAGACTTCGGATAACACAGCCAACCGCCCACCCTGCTTGGGGTACAGGGGTGCATCGCTGACCTCCTGCCCCACTGAAAAGAGACTGGCTCACCTTCCAAGCTGGCCCTGGTGCGCTCACCCTGCCACCCTTCCTCTGTGTCCCTGTCCCCTGGCGTGAGAGACGTAGGCTGGGAGCCTGGCTTCAAAGCTCCTGGTCTCCCTGTCAGTAGGTGTCTTGGTTGTAGGCCCCATCTCCACAACCCTTGACAAAATGGGATCTCCCATAGGGTAGGGACAGGAGAGGGTCACTTTTGAGACTTCACTGGGGCCCCAGATCTCCTAGAGAAGGTCAGAGGTGATCTAGACTCCCAGAATTCTAGGACACTGTATCAGCCTCCCAAGCAGATAGCACCCTAGGAATGCATCTGATGCTTACAGGCAGGACCACTTCTGACTACAGCCTTCAGGGCACCTTCCCAGCTTGGCAATGCCCATCATTGTAACCACCTTGTGTCCATGACCAATGTTGGCAGAGTGCTTCTTGTCTTTCATATGCCACTTGGTGGATCCCACCTTGCTCCCTGCAAGGTACTGGCCCTGTGACCAAGTCCCCCTTGGTTTTCCGCAGCCCTAGGAATGGCACACAGCTCTCAGTAAACCTTGTGCACTGATACTGACCTTGTTTTTGTGTGATCTGTGTCCTGGGGGCCTGGAGGCCAGGGTCTGCTGTAGCGTGTGCCCCTGCTGGCCTGTGTGACCTTGGATGGCCTTGGGACCTCTGTGGGCTCTGTCACCTCATCTATGGATGCTGAAATGAATCAGCTCTCAGCGGCAGGGATTTTCATTGCTTTTGTCTATTCTTTCCTTCTCTGCTAGTACTCAGAGAATGAAACTACATTTCCCAGCCTCCCTTGCAGCTGGGAGTGACTATGGAACACACACTGCCTAATGTGGGCCCAGCGGATGCCAAGAGCATTGTTACATTTTGGAGGGGAGAGAGCAGAACAATGGGGTCTGGGTGCTAAGCCTTCTGCCTGCCTTCTTTCCCTTAAAAGCTTGAAGCCTCCTGCTGAGTGAAGGGTCCTGTGTCTCTGGCTGTGCCTTCCCAAACCTGCTTGGG